CTGGCTTGATCAGGTGAAAACCCACAAAAGTGGGAGGGACTAGGCCCTCCTTGAGGCCAGAGATTCTCCCTGCAGGCTTGATAAAATGAGCAGCCACGTCGGAGATGGCTTTGAAGCCTTTAAGACCTCAGGGCAGCCATGTAACATCTCCTAAAGATGGAAGATTGAAAGAGGGAACTGGCCAACACAGATGAAAGTGCAGCAAAGAAACAAACAGTGATAATACGGGAAACAAAATGAGCAGCAAATGTAAGGGGGGGAAGACAGCTGACTATGGAACTGCTGACATGGCCCCTGTTGGAGATTGGAGCCGTGCAGGCCAGAGGAGGGCAGAGAGGGTGTGGTTACCCACAGAAATCACCGCGGTGGCTGTGATGAAAAGGATGAAGCTGTCCCAGAGGAAGTAGCCCTGGGAAAAAGACACTGACATGAGAGGAACTCTTGGGAGATATTTGCCAACATTGAAAGTACCAATGATAACATGTTGGAAGCGGATCCAAATTTCGAGAGGATTTGCCAAAATACAGAAAAGATGCTCACTCCATATAAGTTATATGATGACTCAGAGAAGGCGAGCGCTGTTCAAACTACTCTTTTAAAGGCTTTACAAAGAAGACCCACTTTAATTCTCAAAGTTTCTAATGTTTAAATTACCGTATACTAAAGAAATGTTGTACTCTATTTTCCCACATCCTTAACATTTATAACTGACAGTAAGAGAGTGATATTTTGAAAAAAAAATCAGTGTAGGTCACGGCACAATTGCAGCTTGCGTTCACTGCTTATTAAGATCACTTTGCACAGATTGGGCTGCCACGGGCATCTTCAGTCCTGCACATGCGCAGTAAACACTGCCTGCGTGCTGACTCACTCTGAGTCCCTTCCTTTCTTCACACATGACAAGGGATGACCCATTCTAGAATTTTCGGCAGGGACCATGTCAATGATGCTCTCCATTGTTCCCACCCCCAGCAGCTAGCACAAGGTCTGACCAGATTAGGAAGTTGTTAATAGCTATTTGAATGAACGAATGGACATATCCAGATTCTAAGTGGGGACAGGAGTCATGGATCATTTAGCGAAAGGATAGGATGTGCAAAGGGTACAAATCAAGATGAAAACAGGAGAAACATCACTTGGTCGGCGGTTACCAAGAAAGCTTAGCTTCCTGAATCCCAAAGCTCCTTCTGCCTCAAGGTGTGGATGCTGCTGCTGCAAATGGCACAGAATTTTGGTCCAAAGTGTGGAGTGGAAAATGAGAAATAGCAGGTACAATGAAAAAACACATGCCACACCTCAGTGCTTTAGAATTAATGTGCAACAGAAAATTGAGATGCAATTAAAAATGTGGAGGGAAGATTAGAGTCAGCTGAGCTGAAGGCGGCAGGCTGAATGGTGAAGTGAGCTAGTTGGGATGAGCTACTGGCTTATCTACTTCTTCCAGCGGAGTAGGATTTAAGTCATTCCATTATTCTGTGCAGCAGAAATATTTGATAAAGACACGAATTGTTCTTCCGTGGATTTCCTAGATATAGACTTTGAAATTAAAAAGTGAGAGGGTTTGGCCAGGGACTAGGTGAAATAACTAAAGAGTATCCAAGTTTTCTGGTTCAGGTTGTTATGAATGAAAAAGCAGTTTAAAAGGGAAGGTTCTGCCTCTTTGATCTTTCAAAGCTGAGAAGCGATTTCTGCCATCTGACTTTAAAGAAAGATTTGGGATGTTATAAAGAGAAAGTTTTATCATCACCTTGGGACTGCCAGAGGCAAACTAACTCTGAAATCCATGAAACCAAACCAAAAACTAGTCACACACACACACACACACACACACACACACACACAAAATCCATGAAACCAAACCAAAAACTAGTCACACACACACACACACACACACACACACACACACACACACAATCTACTCAGACACCTCCCCTACACCACTATTCACCCAAACACATACAACTATCTACTCAAACACCTCCCCTATACCACTATCTACCCAAACACACACAACTATCTACTCAAACACCTCCCCTAAATCTCTATACACCCAAACTTCTATACACCCAAATACACCCCCCCCCAAAAAAAACTGAACACTTTCTGAGCAGAGACAAAATCAGGTTAGAGAGAAACAATGTGATATCCATGTATTTTTTTAGCCCTGTGAAGATTTCTAAATGTCCGGAAGCCATAGGAATCACCTAATCATGGCTGATTTTGCTTTTTCTCTGATTTCAAAAACCGTCAACTTAATTATGAACGGTGAAAACGAGTCACAGAGCTAACTTCTCCCATTGCCAAATCAAGAGTAACCCAGGAGGAATGAATTAGAGTGCCATCCCGAGGAGCTCAGAAGTAACACCAAAAAAAAAAAAATAGCTGGCATTTAGAAATGTATGTGACAGGAACATAAATGAAGATCGTTGTTCCTAAGATAAGTCTTAAATTCATAGCGAAAGGAATCGACCCATTGCAGCGCTACTGTAGCTGCTCATTTCAAGATTATTTTTCTTTTCTGGAAAAATAATTTATTTCGTGATTAGACTAATTCTAGTTGGGCCTGGGAGTGAGTCTGTGTTAATGTTAATGTCTGAGGCAATTGCATGAGTTGTTGGATTTACCGTAAGCCTGATGCTGTGGTGGTGGTTCATCTGAGTGTTATGTCTTTGTGCGTGTCAATCGTATCCATTCTGGCCAATCCACTTACAGAAAACATGGTGCATCTGAGACTCAAACAGAAAGGCAAGTGTGGTCAGAACAACTTTCTAAGTCCAAAGTTAAATCCATAACCATATACAATAATAACAACATGAGTATATATACAGAAAAAAAGTTGAAAAAAGATGCCCTAAATTGTTGACAATGACTGTCTTTGGGGTTGGGTTTATAGGGATTTTCACTTTCTTCATCATTTATTTTGGTAATATTTAATAATTCTTAAAAGTGTGAAAATAGCATTGAGATTAAGTTGAAAAGTTCTTATCTATAGAAAGTTCTTACTGAAACAGTCATGGATTAAGTGCTATAATGTCAGAGATTTGCTAATATATACAGTGTGGAAGGACATGTGTAGAAATAGAGAAAATAAATTAGACATGAATTGGTATGTGATGAGTACATATTGCTTCATTCTATCATTGTGCCTACTTTTGTGTATGCTTGAATGTTTTATGATAAAAAAAATTAATAAAAATGAAGTGATACAATTGAATAGAGGCTGGGGAATAAATGTAAAGAAGCTCAAGTACAAGGAATTTCTATTCTCTAACTTCAGCGGTCGCCAAACTTTAGTAAATGCAACCCTACCTGTGACCCTCTTTTTGCATACATTCACCAGGCATATGCTTGTTAATTCATTTATTTATTTAAAATGATGTACATATACCACTGTACTATTATGCCATTATAAAATATATGCAAACATAAAAAAAGGCTAGAGAAAAATCAACACAAAATCATTCTTCCTATACTCTACTGGACATGGACCCCACTTAGGATCCCATGTGTGGTGAGTGGGGGAGCCCCTTAAGGTTTCCTAAGTAGTAAAGAGTTTGTTGATAAGAAACAGAAATTTATCGGAGCACCCACAGATAATGGGAAATGGACTAGAAAGACCCAGAGGGATTTCGCTGCGGCCTCTCAAAGAACTGAAATGAACAAAGAAGTTGTTCCAACTGAATATGTGACTTGAACAAAGAGCATCACTTCCTTAGCATTTCTTTTATACATATGCAATACACATAATGTATTCCGCACATGGAGTCAGGATACAATATGCATATAAAGCAAATATCCCCACATATTATCTTGGGCACTGTATTTAACACAATCATTATGAGGATAATAAAATCTAACATTAATTATTTAATCTGCCAGGTGTTGTGGTAAGAACTTGACATACATGAGTTTGCTTAAAACTCATGACAACCCTATGAGACATAGAAAAAAATGGATTGGCTTTCCCAAGATGAGAGGGCGAGAAAATGGCAGAGTTCAAACGTAAATCAAGTTTCTGACCTCAAACCCCATGCCCTTAACTACGTAACAATACTGCCTCCATAGGGAATTAATGGCAGTGTCCAAACCATAAGATTGCTGTGATGATTAAATGAGATAATATATGTGATATGTTTAGCACATTGTCTGACATCGAACACACATCCTATTAATGTTAGTATTTTAGTACACAGAATATTTACCAAAAATTTCCACAGTAAACACCATTAAGATTTCTCAATATCAAACATCAATATTTAGAATTGTAATAAAATAATGTTTTATTTAAACATTATTTTGAATAACACATGTCTAAACTCCTTTTGTATGCTACCATCTACAACTATGTGTGACTTTTGTTACTGAGTCTCTATAGAACGACTGATGAGAGACAGCGACTGTAGACTGTGTTAAGCCTCCTGTCCAGTAGGCTATAAAAATGGAAATATCTGTACTTGGCATATACTCCTGTCATATTTTAAGGAGCCACGTACATAAATAGGAGTGTGTGTAGCTTGAGCACTAAATGACCCATGAACTATATATGTACATGTCAATTTTATTTTACAATTGCAGAGTTTGCATTCTTTTGCTTTGACCCAAAGATACATTTTGAGAGAGACGACAGTTCTGAAAACCTTTTTGCATCCTATCGGTTTTACCTAACGTGGTCAAATTGACCACTTGTTATTTTTTTTCAGCTTTCGTATATCTATAGGCCAATCCAGATGAGATCATTTCATAAATAATGATTTGTTTAATCATGGCTTCTATAGTAGAGTAGCCATCTCTCTCTCTGATTTGCTGAACATTCCGGATTTGAAATTTTGTCCCAGTGTTCGGCTGTAATTCCAAGTTGGGTTGGAAGTATTGGCCCCGGTAGAGGTGCGGTATGGAGCTCTGTGGTGCAGTCTGCTTTCCACGACTGGATCTGCACTTGCTTTAAAGAATCATCAAATGTTCCTCTTTTTTTTTTTTTTGTAATTTTGCAAATACTTTACTAAATGTTCTGTCACTCTTAAGGGAATTCTAAATTTCATGGTTGAGTTGGGGAGGTGGATGATGTCTTTGGTTTACGTATTTTGACATTTAGTCAAAGCAGATCTGTCTTTTCATCAAAAAATTAATTTTAGTATTATTCTTTCATTTTATGTAATTAGATAATCTATAACTAGGTATTACCCAGGAACCTGCTCATCATTCTCTCTGTTCTTCTATTGGGAAGTATTTTAATTCTAGGAACATCTGGCAGAGCATTTGTGTTGACACAATAGAATCCACCTCCACCCTTTTTGAACCCAAATGGAATAAGCCAAAATGAAAAATGTAGGATTCCTGGAAGAAAGCATCAGATAACCAAATGCTATGAGCAAAAAATTAATTTATTATATATCTTCTCTAATCATTCATAATAGCTTCTTGGATTTTAAATGTCTTTTTGCTATTTCCAATGCTTAAAAATCATAATTTTAAAACATAAGTACTGTTTTATATACATTGTGATTTCTTTCCTTTTTTTTGTTTTTACTTCTAAATATGAACGACATGGTCTCCAAATATCCACTTGGAAGGAAAGGGGATGGGATTCATTGTTTTGCTCTAACACAGTAGAATTTAAAATTTCACGTCATATACCCCGAGTTTCGACTATATGAAAAATAGCCAAATGTCATCACTTTCTCGTATAGCTCTTTTACATGTATATATGTATCATATAAACAGAATACATCTGATTAGTACATTTCAACATCTCACCAATGTGACTCTTTTATCTCCTTTTTATACAAAATAACAAAATATACAGAGAGAAGAAAGGAGACGTCTGTTCATCGTACAAGAAAGAAAGGAAATAAAAGTTCATGTATGGCTTTGCAAAGGTAGATTATGATGTGACTTTCACACTTTTATTTATTTAAAAGCATCTTGAGAGAACGTGTTAGTGTGCTTACGAGGGCGGCCATGGTGGTTGAAGGTCGCGTCGACAGCCCGACACTGGGATCCCCAGTGGTCTTTCCCGTGGCTGCCTCGGCAGCCTTCAGGAGACAAATGTAGTTTATGACCACTTCATCGATCTTCACTACAATTTCCTGCCGCTGTGTTTCGGAGCTCACGACTTTCACTAATCGCATGCAAGCTTCTGTTAGGCAACAGAGCACTTGAAAGCTGGAAGTCATAGCTACGAGCATCTCCTCTGGGCTTTTCTCGGCCATTGCCATTTTCCTACAGGCACTTCCTAACTGTCTGGACTCAATGGACAACAGTTGCTTGTACTGAGAAAGTGTAAGGTCATATGTTTCAGGGCGTGACTCCTCTCTCTTCCCCTTGGTTGCCCTGACAAGGCAGAGTAGCTCATTGGCATCGTTTTGGGCTGCGAGGAACCCATCGGGCATTGCATATGTGCTCTGCTTTAGGGCACTTATTCTTGCAATCCGGGCATCAAAAGCCAGGTTGCTGAAGTCCGTGTCATCTGGGCCACTCAGGTCTTCGGCCCAGACCTTCAGCACTGGACACCTGGACAGCTCCCCTTCTTGCTTCTGAATCCCAACAGCCAGGGGTGGGCTGGTTGGTTCCGGCATGGCTTTAGTCATCTGTAGTGGAAAGAGGCAAGAGACCCGGTGGGTGGGTGCTCCCTCCTCTTCATCCTCATCCTCATCTTCATCCTGCCCTCGGTTTAGGAAGCAGTAGCTGAAAGGTCCCCGGCATCTCCAATTGCTGCCCTCCAGCTTCCTCAAAGGTAATGTCTTATACAGCTTTGAGTCTTTGTGAGCCACCGGGGACCTTTTGTGAGGCTTCCCGTCGGGGCTAAAGTGCATCGAGCTTTGGGAAAAACTTTTGGTGAGCTTCTTTCCCAGGGGGAGTTCTGCTCGCCTTTCTGAAGTGGCCTCCTGTGCTTCTTCTGTGACACCTGGACACTTGAAGCTGACCGTACCCTTGGTTCTCTCTCGGAAGGTCTCCAAACCTACACATCCTGAGAGGACGCTGCTGCTACGTCTCAGAGCCCTCTGGCTGGGGGGTGTCCCATGGCTCTCCCCTCTCAGATCCAGTGGCTGCCAGCTCACAGCCTCTCCGTAGGCCTGGGATGCTTGGGAGAAATCATTGGGGTCTTGATTTGGAATTGGCACCTTTGATTCCGAGTGAATGTTTGATGGTAGCAGGATGGGATCAACTTCAGGATATTGAGACCACACTGAAGGCATGCCTCCTCGTCTCTCCTTCCCAGACTCTGTCAAAGCTACACTAGGGGTAGTAGGAAAAACAGAGAGAATCATTAAACATCGTATGGCGGTCAGTTCGCTACATCTCTCTGTGATGATTGCTATTTCCCAAGGATGCATTCTAGAAGGGCTGCCATTTGTCAGGGTCACCCCGCTTTCCAAAGACCGACTTCTGAGATCAGATTAAAAAAATACCGTAATCTGTTATTTCTTAAACTGCTGATTCATTTGGAATTGTCTAGAAATCCCCAATGTTTCCAGGGAGACAATGGAATGACATGAATTGGTTTGCTCCCATTTACCTGTCAAAGCTTAGACACATAATTAGAAAAACGCACATTCTAGGTATAAACTATTCAAACATGTTTATGACACTCAAGTTTCATTTCAAGGGAGTTAGGTTAATCCTGGCATCTGTTAATTTTTTATAAAGAAGTGGCCTAATTTACTGAATGCAAATTATATCAGCTCGCCTTTTAAAGAGGATCCCATGAAATTCTCCTGGTACAGGTTTTGAAGTGGAGACACTGGGCAAATTATGTGAAGAAAATCTCCATTTCACAGAATTTTTGTGAGAAGAGGTAAGTTGGTGAAAGCATGCTCTAATTAGTTTAGAGATAAAGATAACAGTTCGGTGATGAATTATGTAAATTCACAGGCGGGTTTCCCATGGCAGGTGAAGCCAGTGGTGGGTTTTAAAAAAATTGATTTTAGCCCTAGCTGGTTTGGCTCAATGGATACAGCGTTGACCTGCGGACTGAAGGGTCCCAGGTTCGATTCCAGTCAAGGGCACATGCCCGGGTTGCGGGCTCAATCCCCAGTAGGGGGCGTGCAGGAGGCAGCCGATCCATGATTTTCTCATCACTGATGTTTCTATCTCTCTCTCCCTCTCCCTTCCTCTCTAAAATCAATAAAAATATATTTTAAAAAACTGATTTTAGGTTTGAGACAGAGAGAGAGAGATCAATTTGCTGCTCCGCTTCTTTATGCATTCATTGGTTGATTCTTGTATGTGCCCTGACCGAGGATTGAACCTGTGACCTTGGTGTATGGGGACAGTGCTCTAACCAACTGAGCCAGCAGGCTAGAGCTTTTTTTTTTTAATTGAGTGGTGGGTTTTGAGAAAGTAGATCATCTTAAAAGAGCAGGAATAGACATTAACCAATATAAGATCTCATTAACACATCAGAATATTCTGCTGGGAGTCTTACAGAGTCAAGAGGAATCTGTAACTATTGCTGAAAGGCAAATGATCTCTCCCAGTCCCTCCAACTCCCTGACCCCCTTGCTCTATGATCCTTCCTTGCCTCTCAAAAATGAAATGGCAAAAATCAGAAATCCAACGCCTTCAAAAGGAAATCAGACCGTTTTGTGACTCTAAGCAATATTATCTTGTAATCACAAGTCACCCAGGGCACTGCTGAAAGTCTGCATTTAGAATTTAGAAACAAATACTGCTCCCTCAGATTCTAAAAGCAAGAACAGAGCAAGATTCTAAAGAGCAGTGCTATCTCTACCATTGATTCTTAAGGAGAGTGGAAGAGAGAGGGAGAGAGAAACATCGATGTGAGAGAAACACATCGATGGGTTGCTTCCTGCACGAGCCCCGACCAGGGCCCGGGCCGGGGAGGAGCCTGCAACCCAGGGACCTGCCCTCAACCGGAATCGAACCTGGGACCCTTTGGTCTGCAGGCCGATGCTCTATCCACTGAATCACACAGGCTAGGACAGAGATTTCACGTTTTTTAGGTTTGTTGTGAGTTGGGTTTACACGCTCCTGGTGGATCAGGCGAAGCGCGAAATCCCTCATTTCTGTACCTGTGGTTTCCTTAATCTTGGGGAGTCGATGACATCCATCTCTCAAAGTCCCAAACAGGGGTTCAGCATTAATGGCTGTGTGCAGGGCAGGCACTGTCATCCGGGGACACACCCCTTCCGGCTGAGGGTGTGATTCCTTAAAGGGGGCTCCGTGGCTGGGCAGCCCGGGGGCTCTCTCCTCGGAAGGCCCGTAAGGCCCGCCTTTGCCCGCGGAGGCGCAGAGC